CCGGATATAGTTGGCTTGATCATAGACGTGGTCCGTGAAGTAAAAGCTTGACCACGAGAATTTCTTGTGGACTGCTTCAACCTGAAGGTCGCATTAAAGCCATAATGCTGCAGTATAACACTAATCGGCTCTCGTTTTATGGTGAGATCGACCTTCGAATCTATTCTCCATGCCTTTGGATCACAGGACATATGTGAATTTCAAGGAAGACTAGGCCTTTTCCCATATCACATTATTTGGCGGGATTGTGGTATTTAAATACTGGTATTCTCGAAACTCTACTTATATACGAAAAATAATCATACCATTTTACCTTTTTGAGCTCCTCTGGGTTTTGCGTTTAATGAGAAAGTGCTTGTATGATGCAGTAAACGAAATTCCGTTTCATTCCTTAATTCAGAAATTAAATGAAACCTACGAGAGCGAGAGGAGTAAGTTATTTAAGTTCATAGACACTAAGTCATGGATTCTCATTCCCCAAGGATTTTTTGAAAACTCAATGTTACGAGTGACATTTGAATATACTTCATTTTTTGGGAGGAATCTAAAATGGCAGTCTATTAGTGGATTTTCCGATACCACAATTAACACAATTAGACAAAAGTCTCTAACATTTTATTATTGAAGTAATTACATAACTTCACATCTTGGCTAAATCTATCTTCGTCACTTTCTTTTTGCTTACTTCATCTTTGTCTTGCACCAGTTACCCCAGGAGTATGCGAACCAAGAATCTGCCAATTCAGATCCTCGTGACCTCAGTCTTTTTGTACACGAAGCTGTTACGGACCTATCTCCAGGCAGCTATGGCCTTGTCGTTTTACCGCCTCGGGACACAAGTGGTCTTCCTACCTCGAATCGGCTTAGGCGTAGGAATAAAGCGTCGGACGATTCGTCTGGCCGGCTCATTTGGGTGCAGCCCGATGGACTTTACTCGGCTCACATATCGAAGTCGACATCAGCCTCACCGGCGAGAGGACAACTACTTCCATCTGCCTCTTCCTATTCCATCGGTCAAACAAATCGATTAGCCGGGCTTATGTCTGTTTCTCGATTCGCCGTTTCAACACTGGGACACCCTTGCTCAGGGCCTGGGCATGCCGGATGTTCACATTTTTGTCTCACTCTTCCCGAGAGTGGACTCACTCCGGGTCCGCTTGAAACTAGAGGAGGGCAAGAAGAGATTGAAGAAGCATCTTTTAGAAGATCATGGTCCTCTGGCTTTCGCTGTTCTTGTCCAAAGCATTTTAAGCTACTCAGCCGTGAGCTGGTTACTAGCCTGCATGGCTGGCCGCCTCAGGAGATGGGCAGACTGGATAAAAAGGACTCAGAATTTAAAGGCTTCAGTTTACCAGAAGGGATTGACAAGAATTGTGTTGCCGTACGTCAATGTATAGCTCCAGATCTACTCTGCCGCTTTGATGCAACTAGCTTGGCACTACGTGCGAATAGGTATGTTAACTGTCTCTTCAGTATCAATCTTTATTACTTCGTTTTCCGAGTTACCCATGTGCTATGCTAAAAAAACCTCTATTCTTAATTAGACTTACGTCAAATAATCTATTTTGAGCTCTATTTTGTACCAGATAGTCTCATCCAACTTCTGATTATTTGAATCCCAAATGTATATGGCTATACTCTCCTCAAACTCATAGAATGTTCTAAGTCCACAACCACTTGACCACAATTTTTTTCACAAGATCAGCTGAAAGTTTTGGAACCTACTCATTATGTATACAAATTTCTTGTCTTATTACTAAGTGAATCCAACTCATTTCATTAATACAACTCTTACAGTTTGGGAGAAATGAAGGATCATGACATTTGAGAAAGTTAGATATTCAAATAAAAAGAAAGGCCCTTCTCTTATGGTCACTTAATGCAATTAATACAGTCTTGCGAACTCAGGTTAATTTATATTTTTCTCTAAATGATTCGAGCTCGACGGACCCTATTTGGTTAGACGATTTAGCAAAAGCGTAGACATGACATTTCTCATCGAAGCCGTTCGTTTGTCACAATTTTCCACAAGCAATCTTGTCAAGGACTTAAAAAGCGAATGATTCTGCTTTATTTCTCACTTAATTCCCATCTGGATTTCGACTTCGGTCATATTGAATGAAGGCCCTCTATGAAAAAGCCTTGAAATCGGCTTGGTTGAACAGGTTGTGATCATGAATGTTTTGTCTATTAAAATTTGATATGTATTCACCACATAATGTTCGCCTATGCTGATGCTTCTTTCCATAAAATCATCTTTTCAG